GAAATTCCTATTCCTGGTAAATTTGTTAAGTTAGTGTAATGTGGACCGCGACCCCTGTAGATCTCATATTTGAATTTTTTTTTTAGATCCGCGCACGATGTAGACATTTTTGCATACTGTCTGTCTAAATATATATCTGTACATGTACAATATTAATACATGTACATGTTTTCATTTTATTCTAACATTATGAGTAACATATTATTGATCAATGAAGGAAAAGTTTTGAATTAACAAAAAAAAATACAAATGTGTACTAGAAAAAATTATGCAAAACATGACTTGGCAAAGATAATTTGAAAGAAAGACTTGCATGAGGGAATGCTTTTTTTTTGTTTACTCTGTATACAGATTATACATGTATATTCAATGGTTGATCGTGGGGCCAATGTCCGGTGTGAAATAGCATCGGGATCGTAATACTGGAACGCCATTTGTGTGACGTCCGTGGCGGGAAATGAGAGGTTGTTCAGGGCTAGTGAGACGAAGTTTAATCAGCCACATGATACTATTTATAGGTAAATCTGTTTTTATTTTAAAAAGCTCATGTAAAATGAGTTTTTAGCTCTACTGGTCCGAGATCAGGAGCGCTTATCGCCTTGAGTGATACTGTGAGGTAGACCCCTATACAAGGTAGCAATAACAGGCAATTTTTAAAATAATTTTGAAACCACACTTATTTTACATCAAAAGAAAGGTCAGTTTACAAGGATTTCAATGGTGTAAAGGTTATTCAGATTGGTCAATGTACAAAAAAGATACAAGTATTTGAAATTCAGTAGCATTTCGTGTTTTCTGCCAATTTTTCGGTTGTAAAAAAAAATAATAATAACACTTGAAGAAATGTAAATTGATATTCATTTTAAACAATTTTGAATAATGACAGCATTTACTGCTGATTTTACTCTGAGAATCAAATGCAAAATCTATTAAACTTTTGTTTTCAAGCCCCTGATTCCAGATCATTTTTCAGTTTATAAGTATAAATTGTAGGATCTTCGGAATTATACTTAATGTTATACCAAATAGGGAAACCAGGCACTTAGTAAGATAGAACATGAGTACTTTTAATGAAGTACACATCAGCAAAGAATATTATTTAGATTTTGTTTACATACTCATGGATTTTAAATTATTATATCTTTAAATATGTTGTTATAAAAATGCATGTATTATTAAATATTGCAAAATAATATTGTTAGAATATTTTTATTTCTTTTTTGTTGAAACAATTTGATTAAAATTTAAATCTAATATTTAAACAACACTTCAAAAGTATTAGCATTCATTGTTTTTATTTTGAGCAATTCAAATTTTAAAATAATGCTAATCTAGCTGTACGATATACTGGTACATGTGTATAAATCTGATAAAAAAAAATTCCTGAAAAAGAAATTCCAAGTATGAACTCGAGGTTCTCTTATATCTTAATCTGTTCAATCACTTGATATTCTGTTATAAAAATTGTTTAAAAAGAAATATATGAATTAAAAAAAATGAAAACATATAGATCTATTAAAATAATTATAATTATCCATACATTACACCAATTACTGCAAATGGACTTAATGGTATCCTAAAGTTGCAGAATGCAGTGATACTAATCAAAGTTCATAGATCTGATTCATTAAAATCATGCATTTTATTTACTTTATTATCTTTTTTTAGCATTGTAAGAATATAACAGCTTGAGATTGACATTGATCAACAAATATACAACTTAGAAATAATGCCTCCTCAGAATCTCCGATGTTGCGCGGGAATTTCAGTTATCTGCCCCTGTTAAAAATGTCGACGTTTTTGTCAAGCATAACTGGTTAAAGCTCATTGCGCACCTATGCGCAACGATTTATTTTAAGAAACTATATACCAAATGAAAGAAAAATGATTTCTCCTTCTGTTTATTGCTGTCAAAGTATTGTCAAAACGGCAAATTAACGAAAGAAACGAAGTTGAACACGATATGTCATCTACTTTCGCTTTAAATTTCTATTTATGGGACTTGATCTACGTACCCAAGATGTTTTTAGAAATCTCTATCTTTCAGCCTTCGTAAAACATTCATATGACTGTCTAATATCACGTGCTTAAGCATTATAATGCCTATTTATAACATCAGGGTTTTCTCACATAATGGCCGCCATTACGTCTTTGTTATCTATATAACCGTGCGAGTATCTCGTGTTATGCATTTTTTTACGCACTTTTGTCAGGAATCGATGTATGTATTATCCAAAATGGTCTTTTAACTTTTAATCTGAATCAAGAAATTAAAGTATGCACAGAAATTTAAGCTGTTAATTCACTTATAAACATGACCTATTTAGCATGGAGCAGAATAGGAAAGTGCCATAACTCGCGCATGCCTGTCATTGCTATACAAGGTCTTTGTCTGTAAACAATATTTTAGAAAAAAAAAATATTCTTGCAGTTTTCATTTTTTAATGTGTCCAACGTCTTTTGGAGTGTCTGTTCATTTACTTCCCTGTAAAATACATTATTTAGGGACAGTTTTCATTTTTTTCTTCATTGAACATTGTTGAAAAGTTCAAAACTGAATAATAGATAGTTTTCGATAGGCCTGAATTTAGCGAAAGTTACCTCCCGTTGGTCGCCATATTGGAGGTCGACTCAGTGATTTTCCCTCTTTGTCTTACCAAGTTTAAGAAACTAAAGCAGAAATATTTGGAGGAAAATCTTTATCAAATAATTTTTCTTAAATAAAGGAGACTTCCAAAAATTTATATACTTCAGAAAAATAATGATTTCTAATTCAGAATAGCAAATATAAAAATTTTAAATTGGTTGAACAATGAAGGAATATGAGCGTTTGGACCTCCAGTATGGCGGCCAACGGGAAGTAACTCTTGGTCAATCGAAAACTATCTATATGTAGCAGTTCACCCTCATTTTTCAATTTTACAAAAGAAGGTCACAGTTTTTTTAAGCATTTGATTTCTATGAAATATTCAAGTATTAGTATATCCAATGTTGAAATAACCATGCACCCAAGGCGTGGATCTTTTTTTTTCCCCCCCAAAAAAGGGGGGGGGGTCCCAACCCAGTCAAGTTAATAACAATAAAAAAAAACCCTTTTAACTGAAATCCTCTTTTGGTGGTGGTGGTGGTGGTGGTGGGGGGGGGGGGGATCATTGACTTTTCAAACTTCTTACCAATGACTTTTCATACTAATTCCACACAGATCTGTTTCAAACAAATTTTTTCCAGCAGTCAGCCCTGCATGCAAATCTAACTGTCTTCATTTACATTTTTACAGTGAAACAGATTTATAGAAAGTGCCGGGGACAGATGATTTTGCTTCCTTATTGTTCATTAAAGATGTATCTGTTTAGTTTACAATATATTTATAGCCATGGGGAATAAGAACCACTTTGCTATAAATGTCAATTCTTTTTAGCTCACCTGAGCCATAGGCTCAAGTGAGCTTTTCTGATCACATTTTGTCCAGCGTCCATCTGTCTGTCTGTAAACCTTTCACATTTTCGACTTCTTCTCAAGAACTGCTGGGCCAATTTCAACCAAACTTGCCACAAAGCATCCTTGGGTGAAGGGGATTCAAATTTGTTCAAATGAAGGGCCCTGCCCTCATTCAAGGGGAGATAATTGGGAATTAATGAAAATTTGGTATTATGTTTTAAAAATCTTCTTCTCAAGAACCACTGTGCCAGGAAAGATGAAACTTATGGGGAAACATCCTCAGGTAGTGTAGATTCAAGTTTGTTCAATTCATGACCCCCAGGGGTAGGGCGGGGCCAAAATGGCGGACCAAAGTTTTACATAGACATATATAGGAAAATTCTTTAAAAATCTTTTTCTCAAGAATAGCAAAGCCAGAATTGTTCATATTTATATGGAAGCATCCTCAGGTAGTGTAGATTCAAGTTTGTTTAAATCATGACCCCCGGGGGTAGGGCAGGGCCACAATGGCCGACCAAACTTTTACATAGAAGTATATAGGAAAATTCTTTAAAAATCTTCTTCTCAAGAATAACAAAGCCAGAATTGATAATATTTATGTGGAAGCATGCTCAGATAGTGTAGATTCAAGTTTGTTCAAATCATGACCCCCAGGGCAAGGGCGGGGCCACAATGGCCTACCAAAGTTTTACATAGAAATATACAGGAAAATTCTTTAAAAATCTTCTTCTCAAGAATAGCAAAGCCAGAATTGTTCATATTTATATGGAAGCATTCTCAGGTAGTGTAGATTCAAGTTTGTTCAAATCATGACCCCTGGGGTTAGGGCGGGGCCACAATGGCCGACCAAACTTTACAAAGACATATACAGGAAAATTCTTTAAAAAATCTTCTCAAGAATAGCAAAGCCAGAATTGATCATATTTATATGGAAGCATCCTCAGGTAGTGTAGATTCAAGTTTGTTTAAATCATGACCCCCGGGGGTAGGGCAGGGCCACAATGGCCGACCAAACTTTTACATAGAAATATATAGGAAAATTCTTTAAAAATCTTCTTCTCAAGAATAACAAAGCCAGAATTGATAATATTTATGTGGAAGCATGCTCAGGTAGTGTAGATTCAAGTTTGTTCAAATCATGACCCCCAGGGCTAGGGCGGAGCCACAATGGCCTACCAAAGTTTTACATAGAAATATATAGGAAAATTCTTTAAAAATCTTTTTCTCAAGAATAGCAAAGCAAGAAGTGATCAAATTTATATGAAAGCATTCTCAGGTAGTGTAGATTCAAGTTTGTTTAAATCATGATGCCTGGGGGTAGGGCGGGGCCACAGTGGCCGACCAAAGTTTTACATATACATATATTTATATAGGAAAATTCTTTAAAAATCTTCTTCTCAAGAATAGCAAAGCCAGAATTGATCATATTTATATGGAAGCATCCTCAGGTAGTGTAGATTCAAGTTTGTTCAAATCATGACCCCGGGGGTAGGGTGGGGCCACAATGGCCGACCAAAGTTTTACATAGACATATATAGGAAAATTCTTTAAAAATCATCTTCTTAAGAATAGCAAAGCCATGATTGGTCATGGGACAACTTTTGGATTTAAACTTTTCAATAATAAACCAATTTCTACTTTTTCCTAGCCACAGTGCTCAGGTGAGCGATGTTGCCCATGGGCCTCTTGTTTTAGTGTTTGTTATAATCATCTTATACTGTAAAGAAAATATTTTCTGGTTTGGAACCTAGTTGTAAGAATCATGGGTAACTTTTATTTTGACGACATTTCCTCTGATTTTACGAGTAGTCTCCCCTGTTAAAGAACATCCATGGTGTATATATACTCACCGCCAATAGAAACGCAACACCCTAATTTAAGGGGCGAAAATTCTGAACTGGATATAACTATGTACCAAAAAAGTTAGGACATCTTTTACTTTGCCAAATCACTTATTTAACGGTTGAATGATTTTCATTCCTTTACCGGAAGTTGATTTTTAGCCCCCTGAACAGAAATCAAAAAATAGCATTTTAAATAAAATTATTGACAATATTTTGGGTTTTCAAGGTTTTGTATCTGTTAATCAAAAGTCTTGTACTAAAAGTCCGGAAAAATATCCTTCTTTCTTTTCCGGATGTGATGCCTGTATTTCCTCAAAGTAACTGAAAGCACTCATTTTCATTGCTAATGTTGGAAATTCTCAAAATAAAGAAAAGCGAGAGCTACAGATGCAAATATACACTACATAACGACTTTTCGGGCCCATGTGTTTCAAAAGCATGAATGACAGTTTTTTTTACCGGAAGTCCACAGGGTTACTACACTACGCCAAGTTAGAGAAAACTCGACCTCAGTATCTGAAAAACAGGCATTTAAAGATGCACAAGAATATTTATTTCGCTCAGGATAAGACATTGATAAACCTACTGTATGATGTTCGGGCTGTGTTTGTTGTACCTGGAAACTAGAACGTTTTAATTGAATGGTCGGAATGTGGGATGTTTTAAGATTTATGCGTTTAATTTCTAAAGATTAAAGATAACATTTAACGTTTAAATGAAGTATCATTGTTTTGTAAATTTACATTTTACATTGATATATTCATTTATAATCTTATCTTTAAACCTTGTAAAGTAAAACATAACTTAAAACATCCCCCCTTGCACACATTCAATTAAAAGTTTGATTGCCAGGTGAAACAAACACAGCCCAAAATTCTACCATGCAGTAGGTTTATCATGTCTTAACCTGCGAAATAAATACTTTTGAATGCATATTTTTAAATGCCTGTTTTTGTAAAATTTTCTAAACTTACAATAACCCTTGATTCCAGTCAAGGAACTGTCATTCATGCTTTTGAAACACATGGGTATCAAAAGTCGTTATGTAGTGTATATTTGCATGTGTATCTCAGAGGCCTCTTTATTTTGAGAATTTCCAAATTAGCAATGAAAATGCGTGCTTTCAGTTAAACTTTGAGGATACATTGCATCACATCCGGATAAGAAAGAAGGATATTTTTAAAACTTTTAGTACAAGATTATGATTAACAGATACAAAATTGAAAACCCAAAATATTGTCAATAATTTTATTAAAAATGCTATATTTTGATTTCTGTTAGGGGGCTAAAAATCAATTCCGGTAATGGAATGAAAATCAGTCAACCGTTAAATAAGTGATTTGGCAAAGTAAAAGATGTCCTAACTTTTTTGGTACATAGTTATATCCCGTTCAGAATTTTCGCCCCTTAAATTAGGGTGTTGCGTTTCTATTGGCGGTGAGTATACATTGCAGGATGCTGTCTGGTCATCAACAGAGAGTTTTGAGGCTGTATTTCTACCAATCACCACTGTAACCTTTGTTATGTTTAGCAGACAGGTAAGGATTAATTGATTGTATATTGTTTTACGTCCTTCTCGAGAATTTTTTACTCATATGGAGACACCAGCATTTATCGGTGGAGAACTGCCAATTTTGTCCTTTGCTCTACACTCAGGGCCATTGAACAGTGAGGGATCTTTTTCGTGCAAGCACCTACTGTGACATGGAACCTCTGTTTAAGGTCTTACGCAAGGAAATAGCCAATCAAAACAAACTTAGTCAAATGAAGTTCCATATACATGGGGACAATTTCTTTTTCTTTTTTCATTTTCGGCAACTTTTTTTTAGGTCTACAGTTTTAATTTTGGACTCATGTACTAGGAATATCATATCTTTAGCAGAATTGTGCCACTGAATTAAAGGGAACTCTTTTTTAGGTGCATGTGATGCAACTTCCTGGATGGTGTGCAGGCTGTTCGTCAACATCTGAAACCCACGTGTATTTCAGGGTAGGTATGTTTAATCTCAATTTTCTTTCTTAAAAGCCGCATAAGGGGTATTTTCTCTTATCTCAAATTTTTGTCTAAGAATTAGTCTTTATTTTCTTTTTCATGAATTATCTGCTGAGAGTCTACTCAGCTATGTTAAGGAAGGTCAGAGTTCACATTCCTTGCACACTGTATTGGAAGTTTGATTGTGATGTCATTGAAATTTGACAAGCCACAAAAATTAATTAACGACATGATCATGCGTAATTAACAACTTGAATTTATTTATTTTATCAATTATTTGTAAAATCTTGTAAAATTACAATACTTGATAGCAATACAGTCGAGTAATAGAAGAAAGCCTTTCGTCAAACATGACGTCATCAGCCTTGACATGACGCAGCACAGGTGATCCAGAGACCTAGATTCACTGGTTAAATAATTACAAGAATGCTTTAATAAATATGATACCATTGCTAATTTTTAGACCTAATCATTAAAACTAAAAGAAAATAATTTATTAGATACAATGTGTATAGAATGTGAATTTATCTAGTAGCATTGGAGCTGCCCAGGGGCAAGGAATGTAGAGAATATCGCTAAAACGATAAGTGTTTTCGTGATTAACATCAAAAGTGCAAGGATCATAGACTATTTTGTTTGAGCTGAAATTTGGAATATTTATTGCTTATATAGTGTTTATTTTGAAAAGTGCTGGGAGCTGATCCTGGTCTGCATAACATTATTAGCTCACCTGAGCCGAAGGCTCAAGTGAGCTTTTCTGATCATATTTGGCCTGTAGTTCGTCTGTCTGTCCATCTGTCTATTTGTTTGTAAACTTTTAACATTTTCATCTTCTCAAGAACCACTGGGCCAATTTCAACCAAACTTGGCACAAAGTATCCTTGGGTGAAGGGGATTCAAGTTTTTTCAAATGAAGGGCCACGCCTTTTTCCAAGGGGAGATGATGAAACAAATTCATGACCCCCGGCCCTGGGGATAGGGTGGGGCCAAAATGGCCGACCCAAGTTTTACATAGGGATATATAGGGAAACCTTTTAAAATCTTCTTTTCAAGTACTTCAAAGATATGATTAGTGATACCCGCGGTATTTATATGGAATCATCCTCAGGTAGTGTAGATTCTAGTTTGTTCAAATGATGAACGCCTGGAAGGGGGGGGGGGAGTAAATTCAAGCCCGATGTGCTCAGGTGAGCGCTGTGGCCCCTGGGCCTCTTGTTCTTATTTATAACAGAACTTAAGCGAAGTGTAAATTTTTAGCTATTATAAGCATTTTCGGCAAAATTTTCAGTACTTCGTAAACAGCACAGACTAGCTCCCAGCACTTTTTGGGTAGAGGAAATAAACATCTTTTAATGTGTATCAATTTTTTTCATGAAAAACAAGCGTATGCCCTTGCACTATCCTCATTTCCTACATTCAGCTTAACAATTATACATGCGATATAACTGGTAATAACTACGGCCCGGTCCTATCCATTATTGATAGCTATATTACATTTTCTACAAGTATTCAGTTGCTTTGTAATATTTTTATACCCCACGCAACTAGTTGCGGGAGGTATAATGTTTTTGACCTGTCCGTCAGTCAGTCAGTCAGTCAGTCAGTCAGTCCTCTTTTTTTGTCAGCGCAACTCCTCATAAACCGCTGCACAGAATTTTGTCAAACTTTGCAGGTATTTAATAAACAATGTGTAGATGTGCATATTACCAGGAAATTCCGATTCCATTATTTTTTCCGGGAATTTCCGCACTTTTTAACTTAGGCATTTGGCCATACCTTGAATATTGAGATGAACAGTTTGTCAGCGCAACTCCTCATAAACCGCTGCACAGAATTCTGTCAAATTTTGCAGATATTTAGGACACAATGTGTAGATGTGCATATTACCAGGAAATTCCGATTCCTCTATTTTTCTGGGAATTTCCGCACTTTTTAACTTAGGCATTTGGCCATACCTTGAATATAGAGATGAACAGTTTGTCAGCACAACTCCTCATAAACCGCTGCACAGAATTTTGTCAAACTTTGCAGGTATTTAGGACACAATATGTAGATGTGCATATTACCAGGAAATACCGATTCCTTTATTTTTTCCAGGACTTCCCACAGTTTTTAACTTAGGCATTTGGCCATACCTTGAATATAGAGATTAACAGTTTGTCAGCGCAACTCCTCATAAAAAGCTGCACAGAATTTCGTCAAACTTTGCCGATATTTAGAACACAATGTGTAGATGTGCATATTACCAGGAAATTCCGATTCAATTATTTTTTCTGGGAATTTCCGCACTTCTTAACAGGCATTTGGCTATACCTTGAATATAGAGATGAACAGTTTGTCAGCGCAACTCCTCATAAACCGCTGCACAGAATTTCGTCAAACTTTGTAGGTATTTAGGACACAATATGTAGATGTGCATATTACCAGGAAATTCCGATTCCTTTATTTTTCCGGGAATTTCCACATTTTCCAACTTAGACTTTTTGGCCATATTTTGAATATAGAGATGAACAGTTTGTCAGCACCACTCCTCTTAATCTGTTGTACATAGTTTTGTCAACCTATAGAGTTATTTAGGACATATTCCATTATTTTATCCCAAGAGTTTTGCCTATTATTCAAGAAAATTTCTCCCCTCCCCCCCCCCCCCCCCCACTTCAAATTAATGTTTGGATTTGTATAATGCCAAGAAATTTTGATTCAATTATTTATCTAGAAACTTCATTCCACATTTAAATGTCCTCATGTGCAAGACATTTTGATGTGAAGATTTTTTTTGCAATTATTGCCCTTTTTGATCTATACTATGTATTTAAAGTGCACTGTGCCTTTCATTATGTGTTTCACCGTCAAGTTTTGGGGGAGCGTGGGGTATGTGAGCTAGCTCACTTTTTCTTTCATTTAAAAGAAGTAATACATATTAAAACGGCGCAAAGGTCACATTTTCCATATCGGTCCTTAACATAGCTGAGTAGTTAATAAATTTAATCAAAGCTATATAGTAACATATAGTGAAATTATTTCCTTGTGTGAAACCTTAAACGGTCTCACCCAAAGGACCGGTCTCCTTGTGGGATTTGAACCTGTCAGACTTAAAGATCAAATTTTTACTTTGCGACTCTAGAGCAGACACTCTAACCACTGTGCCACGCGGGCGACCAAAGGAATTTGGAAGTATCCACAGGGAGTGTAAAGTCAAGTTTGTTCACTTGTTCAAGTTTGTAAGACCACTTCTATAAATAAACCCCCTCCCCTCTGAGACCACTTTATAAATAAACTTTTCAATACAGAACTTTTATCTGCTTTTTTCCTAGCAAAAGATCTCATATGAGTATGTGGCCTCTCGTGTTTGCTTTTGAAGTAATTTTTATGCGCCCGGATCGATAGATCCGAGGCGTATATTGTTTTTGTCCTGTCTGTTTATCTGTTTGTCTGTCTGTCTGTTGTCAACTTTAACCTTCGCCATAACTTTTGAACCATGAGAGATAGAGACTTCATATTTGGTATGCACACTCGACCAATGAAGCTCTTTCAAATGAAACCAAGTTCAATGACCTTGTGACCTTGACTGTGACCTATATGCTAAAAATAGCTTTTTAGAACTTTCGCCTTAACTTTTGATCCATAAGAGGTAGAGACTTCTTCATTGAAACGCATCACTAATAAAGCTCTTTCAAATGACACCAAGGTCATGACCTTGTGACCTTGACTGTGACCTATCTGCAAAAAATAGCTTTTTTGAACTTTGTTACCGCCGGGCGCATAGTGTTTCACAAACACTTCTTGTTTCTACTTTGTTGTTGATTTAGATGATGAACCACTCTACTTCCTTTGAAAACGGGTGTCCATACAGATTCACAAAGTTCCAATGTTGAGTATACATGAATTAGCTTGAACCAATAAGTGCAGTTTTATGTATTCTACTTTCAAAAAATTCTAGTAAATGCATATAATACATTTTGATGTTGATTTTAAATATATGGTCCATTTTACTGTTTTAGATTATGATATTTCAATTCTATCGAGTCATTTTTTGGTCCAAAAGAAATTTTTTTTTTACAGTCTCTTAACAAACATAAGTGTTCCTTATCCATGATTATTATGTTTGAATCAAAGTCAGTAGGCACCACTGAAGTTTTCTACTTCTTTTCAGCCCATGACAGGAAAAACTGTCAAGTTGACAGGACTTTCCACACTGTTCCAGGTATCAGTTTAGAAAGGAACAGTCAGCAGTAGACATAGCCAGCTTCATCAAAGGTAAGTCTTCAGAATGGTATGTGTAGCAATTCTTATGTGCTGTCCTGCACTGAAGCTTCAGTTCTCTGCATGGATTCACAGGGCTAAGCATCTTTGTACTCTTCTGCCCCTTGTGAGGAATGCTTTCTTCTTAGCTCACCTGGAGAAAGTCCAGATGAGCTTATGCTATACCCCCCAGCATTGGCGTCAACATAAGCATTGGTGTACCAGGTTAAAGGTCTAGGAGCAAGTCCATTCCCATGTAACTACTGTAAAAGCACAAATATTTGGGGGGGATTAAATTTCAATTATTTCATTGAAAACAATTATCAACCATATTAAATCCCACACAAAAATTTACATGACTATATATTGAATAGGGTTACTTTCAAAACAACAAAATTAAATGCCTTACCTGAACCAAACTTGCATGGATGATGCATCTAGGGATATACACTACCAGACTTGCTTCAGATGCTGGATCTGTCCTACATTTTTCAGATGAGTGACCAGGTTATTTCCAAGAAACTATGAGCCCTACCTGGACCAAACTTGCATGGTTACATTAAGGATGGACAATCAAGACTTGCTTTGGATGCTGAACCAATCTGACCTAAATTTTTCAAACAAGTGACTAGGCTTAAGTTTTTGGAACAGGTCAATCCCCAAGGAACTATACGACTTATTTAAACTAAATTAATGCAATCTTTAAAAATTTTTACTCCTAGATAAATTTCAGCATTAGCAAATTTGTCGAGTGCTAGGGCGGGGCTAAATAAGTAATTGCAAAAATATTATTTCTTTGTCAAAAAATAAATCACCAATAAGAAAATGTAAACAAAAAGTACATAGTTATAGAAAGATTTTGAAACGTGAAATTTATCAACAGTTTCAGTTTTGGTGTTGCAATTCGCTCTATAATTATATATAGTGAAAATGTTTTCAGATTTCTTTGAAAATCTTCTTCTCTGCCCCTTTGTATTAAATAAACTAACTAAGTGCATAGTATGATGAAAAGATGATTTACATTTGAATTTTAAGCCCCTGTCAACATTTGTTACCTCTAATGATTATGCGTCATAATATTTGTTACCTTCTTCTGTTTAGGTATCAATAAACTAAAAAGCATAATGATAAGAGCTTTTCAAAAAATTATGAATTTTATGGCCCCAGGGATAAGGTTTGGTGGGGGGGGAGCATTTTATATAGTGAAAATGCATGAATTCTTTGAAAATCTTCTTCTCTAGTCCTAGGTATTAAATAAACTTTGTACAGTTATGATTTTAAGATGTGCAATTTCAAAATTGAGAATTTTAAAGAATGGCCCCAGGGTCAGGGGTAAATAGGGTTTTCTATTGATTTATATAGTGAAAATACAGATTTCTTTATCTTCTTCTCTGCTCCTGATAAATTAATAAACTAACTAAACATTTTTATGATGAGCAAGAGTGCTTTTACCCAAATTGTGAATTTTATAGCCCCAGGGTCAATAAACTGGTGTTCATCAGGGTGGGGGGCTCTTGATTATGTAGTGAAAATACATGAATTGATTTGCAATAGCATGCTCTATGTATCAAATAAAAACAAGTGCATAAAATGATGATAAAAATCTCAAAAATTATGAATTTTATGGCCCCAAGTATAATACAGCATTATATGTGAAAATAAATTCTTTGAAAACTGGTATTAAATAAAACTAAGTAGCAAACATAATTTATGATGAGCAAAAATGCCTCTTCTAAAATGTATGAATTTTATGGCCCCAATTATTAGTTAGGCGAGGCATTATTACACAGTGAAAATGCATTAAATCTTTGAAAATTTTTTCTTATTTGCTGATCAAGACAATGAGCACACGGCGGCTGTTATGTCAGCAGGGCCCTACTCATTCAAGGCCCCAGGGTCTCCATGACTTATATACTGAAAATGAATTAATTGTTTGAAATAGGGGTCTGTGTTTGCTCTGCTCCTATTTTATATTTTATATGGACATTTATTTTTTTTCTTTTATTGGGATTGCAATTTTAATTTGCCATTAAAAAAATTGTGCATTGTGTGGACATCTGTCAATAATTGCACTTCTGTTTGAATGTACTGAAACAAATGCAATACTTTTATGCGAATCAGGGTATTCAGCTTGCTAAGCAACTGCTAAGTGTATTGGTTTATGAACAATGTGCCTCTGATTCAAAATGTATCATTACATTTAAAACATAAATCAAATTCAATAACTATAAAGTTGTTCATTTGCTCAGGTGACCTATAAGGGTCTTTTCCTCATAAACAATGAGTCCAGGTTATTTAGAGACTTAAGCCCTACCTGTACATAAAACTTGCATATAATAATCTAAAAAAAATTTTATTTGTAACATCTCTCAAAAAACAAGGACTAGGTTTAAGAACAGGTCAAAATTCTATAACGACTTTTTTTTTTCAATAAATACCTACTATTGAGAAAATATGAATGCTCACATTTGCACATTTTAAACTGATAAAATTTGTCAAAGAAAATAATCAAAGCAATTTGTTACCGTATATGTTGTCAAGTCAAAAAAGTTAAGGAGAGCTTTTGGTAAATTTTCCCTAGGTGTCCCAGGATACCACTAGGGAGCATTTTAACCAGAAACTTGTGTACAAAGTTTCCTTGTACCAGTTAAGGGGATGCTGCAATTTCAGCTAAAGATGACCAGGGGTTTTCAGAAGGCCCATTCCAGAAATAGATTTAACCAACCTATGAATTAGAGATTTAAATTTTATTGTATTTCCCATTGTTTAAAAAATAAACTTTCATCACCTGCTAATGGTTATATATCTCAGTTGAATTGATGTGCAATAGCATCCTTATGTATGTGCAATTTCTAAAAAGTATAAAATGATTAAAAGTTTCAAAACAAGAATCGGGGTTTAGTCATCATTTCCTAAGTTCTATGGTCAATAAAATGACTTTTCAGCAAATACAATTTATCATTGTATAAAAATCTTTGAAAACAATTATTAGTCCATTATTTACACACTGAAGAAGATTTTCATATTTCCTGATCAAGAAATGTGCACACATCTGTAGGTAATACTAGTTTGTTCAACATGATTACCACCCGATGTTTCGGAGGTCTGTGTTTGCTCAAAACACATTTTGTTTGTACATATGGATTATTGCATGAATCTCTTTATATTTCTTTGAAAAACATGATGATGAAAGTGTAAACTGACATCTGCAATAGTTGCATCTGTTTGATGTAGAAACAAATTTACTTTTGTGGAATCAGGGAAGCTTGTTGTAGAACTACTAGTACTTGGATTTACAAAACTATGTTTTACTGATTCATATGTATCTTACATTTAATACATTATTCTGACACTATAAACCCTGCTGTTCTTTGCCATTACTTTAAGGGTCTGAATGACCATAAACAATCGCAGTCCATTTAAGATTAGTTGTACATAAAAATTCTATATTAAGCTCAAAAAAAAGTTTGTTTCCTGTAACAT